TGTTATTTGTGGGTAGATTATGAGGATGAGAGCTCAAGGAACCGTTGATGATTTTCCAGCAAGAGACGATGCTCTGAAATCCTACTTTAATAAACTGGCCACTCTCCTCAGAAATAAGGTAGGTTAATCAGTATGTAAAAATATGTCTAACAACAAGCGTCTTTTATTCAAAAGTATATAAAACGCTGTTTTGTTCTCTCCATCAGGACAACAGTTTCTGCGCATGGGAAGTGGTCCGACATGAGCTCCTTGGTGTTCTTAGCGACATCATCCAGCCTAAATTATAAGTATAGAGTAGTTTTACCATATTTATTTATTTATTTATTTATTTATTTATTTATTTATTTATGTATTTATTTATGTGCTGCCTTTGTAAACAGTAAATATTAACATTGAACACTCAATAAAAAAAACGAAGAAACTGAAGTGTTTATCTCCGAGTAAACTTTACAAACAGCTAATTGAACGGTATAACAAAAGCTAGTTCTGCTGTATCAAATACATGCCTAAAAATAAAGCCACGATATCCAGACTGCTTATGCGAGTGAAATTGGCTTATAAAACAGTTTAAACAAAAGGTGATGATGAATAAAACACACTTTATACACTCTGTATACTAATCGTTCAAATTGGGTGAAAAGTTGTAGCTTGCTTATAAACGAATTGGTTTCTGAATGAACAAAAAGAATTGGTTAAGTGAATGATTAAATTGCTCATATAGCCTTTCCCAACACCTGCAGTTTGAAAATTCCAAACTCTGTTTGCAAGATTTAATAAAGCTTTATTTACACATTTTGTACAATTGATACTAATAAAAATAATAACAATACACTTCTTCATCTATATTCAATATCCCAATGATAAAACTTACTTGTGTTTCGAATTGCGATACAATTAAAAATAAAATGTTTAAGTTGTAATCCTACTAATCGCAGTATTAATAAACTGTTTAACCATACACTATGACAAAAGTCTTTTCGCCTATCCAAGTTTTAGGAACAACAAATAATAACTTCTATTCCAGTGGATCGTTTGGTATCAGAAGTGGCTTATATTAAAGACAAAGGCCTCCAGATTATGCTTATTTTACCAAAATAAAATATGATCATGCCTTGATTTTTAAATATTTAATTAGGACATTAAGGTCTGACTTTGCCAGTCAAAAGTCTTGTCACTTGACAGAGATACTGTACAGTTTAGAATACAAAGTCATGGTGCAGTGGAAAAATAAATAATAGTGAATGACTCCCATGAGCTTGTAGGACTGCATCCATACGTCTCTCAAATAACTTAATAAAGTCATCTGGAATGGCAAAAGAAAGCATTCTGGCACGACTCCCAGAGCTCATCAAGATTCTTTTGATTCATCTTCAATGCTTCCTCCATCTTACCCCAGACATGCGCAAAAATGTTCTTGTTTGGTGACTGGGCTGGCCAATCCCGGAGCACCTTGACCTTCTTTGCTTTCAGGAACTTTGATGTGGAGGCTGTAGTATGAGAAGGAGCGCTACCCTGCTGAAGAATTTGCCCTCTCCTGTGGTTTGCAATGCAATAGGCAGCACAAATGTCTTGATACCTCAGGCTGTTGATGTTGCCATCCACTGTGAAGATCTCTCGCACGCCCCCATACAGATTGCAACCTCAAATCAAAATCAAATGAAACTTGGACTGATTTCTGATCCATGTCTGGGTCCATGTGTGTTCCAATAGGTCTTCTGCAGTATTTGTGATGATTTGGATGCAGTTCAACAGATGATTCATCAGAAAAATCTACCTTCTGCCACTTTTCTAAATGATCAACTAGAAGTCAAGTTATTATTTGTTGCTCTTACAACTGGGATCAATAACAAGACTTTTGTCAGGTAGGGTACAATTTACAAAAAAATAAATAAAGATTTAACGTCATGAATGTTGATGAAACTTCAAATACGATTTGAAGTTGTATTAGTATTATTTTGTGACTGAATTTTCATATAAAAAACAACAGAATGTGAGCTGTAATAAATACTGCAGATTAAATTAAACACTAGGTATATTTCCAATGAGATACTCTTTTTATTGTCACTTTTATGAATTGTATTCTTGGAAAAGCAAAAGGTCAAACAGTCAAACACAAGCTTTTGCAGGATGGACAAAGAAGGGAGTGTTTCCTCCACGTCTATATCTCTTCCCTAGTCTTTTTTTTTTTTTTTACACATGACGAAAGTCAAAAACACTATACTATATCATACTTCTAAAGCTCGGACCCTCATATTTAGGGTCATAGAGGCACCTTTGGGTCTTTCTGTTTGGCCCCCTGAGCCCAGTTTAGGGCTGCATAAACCCTTGTCCCCCATACATCTTATCATAGGCCCAAACCCATATCTCATTTTCACTTCACAGTTGTTCTAAATAATGCAGGCACTTCACAATGTTTAACCATATACATATTAAAGTAGTAAAAATAATGCATTTTCCAAGTGGCCAAGACAACAAGTGTGGGTACTGGAACACAAAGCCAGAACCCAGAATCACTTGTCAATAACTGGTCCTAAAAAAATAAATAATACAAAAAATAATAATAATGCAAAAAAATTTGCCCTAAAAATGTGAAAACTGTCAGTGCTGCACTTATGAAAAGCCTCTAAAATCTGCAGGTTACATATATAGAGCAAGGTTCAGTCAACATCACAGGTACACATTAAAAAAATATCCATAAATGAGCAGTTTTCCATATTTTGTAATTCATGCTTCATTTTTCAATTTTATTTATGTTTTTGAATTGCATTATTGGACCTTTATTTTTCTTCCAACAAAGTTTAACCTCGAAAAGTAAAAAAAAAGGGATTTTTATTAACATTTTAAATAGTTTAAAGTGATATATTGTCTGGGTTGGTGTTGTACATTACAATCCATTACAATCCAAAAACCTTGTAATAAACTGCCAGTACATTTTCTGCTATTTTACACAGAATATATATATATATATATATATATATATATAGTGGGGATCAAAAGTTTGGGCACCCCAGGTAAACATTTATAAATAATTATGTTTATAAATAAAAGCGTTTACAAGCTGTGATACTTGCCAAAGGGGGCAGTACAAGATATTAACTCTGCAGGGTGCCCAAACTTTTGCAGACACCATTTTTTTGTTTTCTGTTATTTTGAAAGTGTAAATGATGGAAATAAAATCTAATTTTTTGACATATTAAAGGAATGTCTAATCTGTAATTTGATGCCTTCAGGAGATTTTTCCATCTTTCCTTGGCTTCTTTATGCACATTAATACAAATTTTTTATATATGTATTTATATATATATATATATATATATATATATATATATGTGTTTGTGTGTGTGTGTGTGTGTGTATGTATATGTATGTATGCATGCAAATATATATATATATATATATATATATATATATATATATATATATATATAATGCAATTCAATACAACAAATAAATAATAAACAAATTACAAATTATGGCTAGTTGCACTCAAAACAACGCAAATCAAATGATAAAGATATGATTTAAACAATAATATATTATTGTCCAACAGTTACCAAGGTGTACAGGTGTAATTTCCGTCAGTTTGATGATGATGCCTCTGGTCTTAGGCCTGACTATAGTCTTTTTTTTTTCTTTGCACACTGACTTGGCAGTAACTCACATCCCTTAAATATTTTAAGCCATCCTAACTTGTAACTAATTTTCAAGGAGTGTAACAGGTTAACTTAAAAGCATACAAAAAAGTTCAACCATAAATCACAATTGAACCATGATGCTACATGAACCATAACATACAGTATTACACTTCTTTTAATAAACCATGATTAAGGGTATTCAAATCATAAATGTGCAGTACTTGGCCAAACCACAGAACATAGACTTACCTAATAGTTTCTGTTCTTAGATTCAATCAGCTCTACGGAAGAGAGAAGCTAGTTCACGGCGTTATCTTGTTGACTGCAAAACAAATGTACATTTGTCTCTGTAAATGCCATTAGTTTAGAATATGGATGACTCTTTGAGCCAAAAATATTATTTTGTTTAAACAAAACAGAAAAGCTCACCTGTGACTCCTTAAAGAGTCGACTTTTAAATTATTGTTTGTTCCGTAGCTTTCTAAGTTTATTGATTGTAAAACCTTTAACCACAACTGTGGTGTAAACATAACTGTGTCAGCCAATTCAAAATTATCACTTGATTGAATGGCCATTATCAGTGGTTATCGGCTGATAGATATGGGCCAGTAGGGGCGTTCTGCACCTACTGGTAGGTCTTAGAAGGCTGTAATCATCCATCCACATGGTTAATCAGCTATAGATCACATACGGACAAGTTGAGAATTATTTATGTTATTTATTATTCATGTGTGTGTGTGTACAATTCATTTTAAGCTCTTCATACGCTACCAGTTCACAATTGTCCATTTCCCTCTACAAAACAAGTAAAAGGTAAACATTGACAAATGGTAACAACAATTTGAAAAAAAAAATATGAAACTACAGTTATATTGAGATATTTGCAAAAAAAAGAAAAATGGTAAATAAAAAAACTTGCATATATGAAACGGTAGAGATTAAAAAGTATTTAGTTACATATTTGACCACAGTGCATGTCATGTGGTAACTATACAGTATAACAAATTTGCATGTGCTCTAGACACAAAAACAGGATGTTATTTTGCAAGGTTCAAACACAGGATATGTGGTTAAAGCATGATCGCTAATATTCATATCTCATATAGCATTATGTCTGCTAAAATTAGAAATAGCCTTTGCTGGAACAAAAAAGTTGCATAGATGCACAAAAGTAGAAAAGGTCACATCAATGTGTAAGACCAAAGTTTAGAGACAGAAAGAGAACACTGTGATTAAAAAAACAGCTCATCGTTTACTGAATATTATCAGATTTACATTCATATTTTCCCGTTTTTAAGACATTTGCTATTGAACTGCATTGATCTCTTTAATTCACTGTAGCATGTTTCATGATAACACAAGACTGTACAGCTGACTGTATGAAAAACATTTTTATTAATCAATAATTACAAAAACGTTGTAAAAATGTAACAAAACATACAAATGAATTAATACTGTGGTGTGGTTCAGATGTTTTTTTTTTTTTTTTTTAAGCTGCGAACTGTCCAGTGCTGAATGGAAATGGCGATGTAACAAAACTGTAATGCAAGTCAAAAGTGAATGTAACAGTTGTTTCTAACAATGATCAGGTTTAAAAAGTGAATGCACTTATCTCAACAATCAATCAGTCACTGAATCGATCAGTCAGTCATCCAATAAATAAATAAATAAATAAATAAATAACATTTAAAGTACTATAAAAACTCATAACATGATGTCCGAGTTGTTTTTTAGTATGAACTCCAGGGTGCGGAGAATCTCACTTCTCACAATTTCCCAAGCACAGTAACTGGAATTCTGCATGGAAAAATTTGATTCAGCATTAGAATGTTTATTACATGAATTTAAAAAGTAACACACGTGAAATAACAGTCATTGATTGTACACAAAACATACCTTTTCTTTCAGAGTCGAGGATATTGTCTCAAAGTAAACCTTGAGCGAAGCCTCTCTGCTGGGAAAATCCTGAGCCACTTCAGTCTTGTTCATGATCTGTATTTACAAAGAAATAGAAAATATGAATTAATTAATGCCAAAGGGAATTCTAAGCTGAAAGTCATAAAAGTATCTATACATATTAAACTGCGAATACTGGATTCTAATGAGTTAATAATGATTGATTATTGGAACATGAACATAATGCATTACAAGATTAGTATTTTCAAATAGAAGTAAAAATCATACAAGAATTCTAGGATGCACTATAGTATTCTATACTGTTTTACTTTAAACGGGCAAATGAAATATAGCTCGAGAAAGCAGAGCAAGGTAGCCTACTTGTAGGCCTGTCCATCCTATTTTAGCAAAGCAGTATGTCAATTTTTTAAAAGTGTTATTTAAACAAAAGGAGAATGTAGGTAAAATGTAAGATTCTTACGCATGTGCTGTATTTAATCTGCCGATATACGATGCCTCTAAAGTCATCCAGTTTCTCTGCATCCCACTGGTCCGGATCACCGAAGTTCTCAAACAATGCGTCAATGTTCTGGAGTGTCTGATAAACAGCTTTTTCAACACCAGTAACCTTTAAAAAAAAATAAAAGAGTAAATGTGTTAACAAAACAACACAAGTGAGGCAAATGTAAACTTAATTGTGTGGTCTTATAGTTCTTTAGGCTCTTCAGTTTGTCCTAAGGGGCAAAAATAGCATTATATGAAATTTTTCTCTAATTTTGGGGTCAATAAAAAAACATATCAAACTTAAAGCAAACATATATGGTATTCATCATTTGAGGTAAATTTAAAAAAAAACTTCTAAATTGGCAAAAAAAAAAAAAAAAAAAAAAGGGAAAAGAATAGTTATTGTTCAGTTTAGGACAACTTTGACCAAAAGTTTCAATCCACTTTAAATGTTGACTGCTATTTCTCTCTCTCTGTATATATACTGTAAAATATGTTTGGTTGATTAGGTTTATTCTTTTGCAGGCCTACCTTATATTATAAAGCTCAGCATATAGGAGTACACCCCAGTGAATATGGGTAATATATATTGGTGCATTTTTTTATGCAATAGTATTTATTAAAATTATATTTAGTCACAGAACATCTTTAGAAATAGAAAGTTAATACATTTAAATTAATGAAAGATATTGCAAAAAAGAAGAAAAAAAAACTAAAACATTTCAACCAAATTATAAATATACATTTTATTTTAGCTATATATTTTTGAAAATTGTATTTAATAATTTTCCCTAACATAAATTTGGGCTATTTGTTTTTTACATTATTATAAAAGTTATTTTATTAGATTAGCTCCAGATTTAGCTTCAGTACTGACTAAACTAATGCACAAATATAATTTTGTAAAACATCCTATAGAAAATATTAATTTAAATGAAAGATTTTTGGGAAGTGTCAAATATGCCAAGCACCCATAGATTAACAGCTGTGTTAAAGATTTTACCTGATCCTCGTTATACTCGAACACATTTTGCGGGAATGGTATAGAAACGCGGTCGTCCAGGCATTGCATAGGGAAAAGCCCTCCCTAAAACAAGATTATATTCGTTAGACGACCTAACACATGTTGAATATGCAATTAATTATTCGTTACATACAATAATAAAACTGACGATTATCTGCAATAAATCTTACCGCAGTCTCCAGAAGTGTATAGGTCCTCTTCATTAAGTTTTTCTGAAGATTGCAGTTTGTTGGCAATGACCAAACCTGCACAAAGCAGAAAAAGGTGCACAGCCAGGCCACACGGTGAAGGTCCATTCTGACAGATGCCTATACGGAATCAGAAATTAGTATGATGCAAACTATACATTACCAGGTTAATTATGGGTCAATAATCTGACTCACCTCTTTGAAATGTTGAGTATCCTCCAAAACTCGATTGTCGTTATGTGATGGATTCAATGTATCTGAAGTTTATATACAGTATTTTGTGAACAAATCGAAAAGGCGTGATTTCGCATTAATTCTTTCATCTTGAAGAGAAAGAGGGGATTTTTCACGAGCTCATGAAGGTCTTGCGCGGAGTTTTCGAGTTCGTTCATTCAAGAGAATCTCTAACGGAAGCTAACGGAATATGTTTTGCTAGAGTAACAACTTTCGGGTTTTAATTAATCTGTGTGGTATCTAAGAGCCCAGGGTGCAAACAAATCCCAATAAAATAAATACATTCCACTGAATATGAATAAATGATGGCAGATGAGTAGTCTTATATTGAGCAGAAAACACTGTGCATGACTAACGTCGTGGCATGCCGATGCATGCTTTTGTTGGTGTACTAGTTGCTGTATTTTTATAGTTATTATTTTTGCTTTATTAAGTGGTAGGCTTAGTCACAGATGAGCTGCTTAAACACAATTAAGACAAAACCAACTTTACAATTAATTTACTATACTTAAAAACTCCTGATACAGCAAATAGCCTCATTATGGCTTATATTTTGCAGTGCCATAAAATAAAATGAATCACACATTTATATAAATTACAGTAAACAAAAAGAGGGTGAGATTTGAAATAAGTTGCATTGAATCTGGAAGCACAAAGTATTGTTCACAACACTATATAACTGACATAATATACGGCCAATAAATATGGTCAGTATACCTAACGACCACAGATACTTTTTCTGGCATTGCTTGGCTTAAAATGTGGTCTTGGTTTGTGGTATTTAACCAGACCACATTCACAGATGATTACCTTAAGCTTATTCAGTTTAATACTTAACTTTTCTTTTAACAAAATAACATCCGTGTTGATCTTAGATGTCCTTTTAGCCCAATGTGTATTGTCACTATTATTAGCATAAAATTTTAAATGAATATTTGTATTAAAATATATAACAATTACTTGATGTTTGAGTAAGAATTCACACTTTAAATGCCAATAAAGTTTTAAACAACAAGTCTTAATAGTATCTCTTTGTATTCAATGTTTTATTTGAAAAGAAAAAAAGAAAGATAGAAAGAGAAATGAGTGCCCACAACTGGGATTTGCCCAAGATTGTCTGTGTGTGTTTAAATCTTGCGTGGCACTTGTGGTTGTGGTTTAATGTGCAAGAAAAAGTAATCGTTATTCTACATATGTTTCTAGTGAAATACTGCTTTTTCAGCCTCGTGGGTATATGGAGAGACCCACTGGCATCATACCCTGGAAAGTGAAAATGAGCACAGGGAAGTGAAAGTGTGTGAGCCATGCAGGCTCAGTGAACGTCACTCCCAAAGAATTAAAAATAGAACTGAAGGGAGAGAGGAGGAAGGAGGGAAGAGAAATCAAGCACTGAACTGGTGTATGCCAAGCGCCTCAGGGAGATAAACAGACACAATCAGACATTCCTACATCTGAGTAAGCTTCTCAACACACTCATCCACATGTGTTGATGAGTCAGACCAATTAATAGGTTATTAGGTTTTGCACAAGTCAAACACATTTCAACAAGCATACTTTTAATATAAACATCTTATTTTCAGAGCAAATTATACTGCTTTCATTTGATAACTTAATGGGTGCGATTATTAAGATTTTAAAAAATTTATTAGGACTAATTCTACTAAAAAACGTATAACCTTTAAATTCTGAACCAACTGCAAGCGTGACGAAACAGTCTGAGAAGACCATACATAAAAGAACATTACAATATCCCAAAGGAGAAAAAACAAAAGCAATAATGACCTTCCGTAGGGCTGCGTCTCAAAATCAGCACCCTAGTTCCTGAGGTTGTGTCGTGTGCATGAATACGGGCACTGAACAGTAATGACCTTGGTTCACTACATATTGGGACACATCAAGTATGACATGAGAACGACTTCATTGTAAATCAGTTTTCTTTCTTTCTTTCTTTCTTTCTTTCTTTCTTTCTTTCTTTCTTTCTTTCTTTCTTTCTTTAGCACCTGCAGTACAATCAAAGTTAAATTACACACACAAAAAGATATACAATATAGTAATAATAAACAATATGTACAATATAGGTGAAACATCATGTGAAAAATACTGGAAAGGGACTGAAAATAAAAAATAGTCTATATAGATGTTTAAAAATAAGGTGTGACGATCTCACAGAGATTGGAAGATTAGGCTATGGGTCCAGTATTGATCACCCCTGCCCCATGAGCCAAATTCTGGGATTTGGATGAAGATCATTTCTGAATAATACAAGGGTGCTTGATTATGTAGAGATATTTTAATAAATAAATAAAACATTTTGAAAAACATTCTAGATTCTATTGGCAGTCAATGAAGCAAGAACAGAATATCTTATTTTACCTATCCCACCACCACATTTGGGCTAACCATCTGGAGTCACATTGAAAAATACATATTTTATAGCATAATAATCTGTAACTGACGATGCATAATAGAGTGAACGGGAATCATTTGTTTAAAATCAGAAGGGAATGGATGATTTTTGCTAGGATTTGCAAATGAAAAACTAGATTTAACAACATTACAAATTTGCATTTTAAAAAAATAAATTGCAATAAAATACAAGTTTTTTTTTGGAGTTGGAAAGATTTGAGGAGAGATCAACCAAGATCACTGAATAACAATTGCAGATCAAACAGCTCATAGACTGAACATGGACCTAAATAATCAGCTGTATTTGCAAATTTTCTGATCATAATCTCAATTTTACCCTCGTTTAATTGAACCAGGCTATAAGCCATCCAGCTTTTAACCTTGATGTGCCAAAAGTGACTTAAAACCACAATTTTATATAAACATAGAGGGAAGTAAATTTGTGCCACCCAATGGTGAGATATGACAAAGACAAAACAGAGAAAACAGATTAGATCTAATAACAGAATCCAGAGGCCCTCCACAGGTAATGGGTGCATGAATTTCAGAGCAACACAGCTGGTATTCATCTGTTTAAATTAATGATTTTGTAATAATGTTAAATTTATGTTAAATGAAGCATCTAAAATGCTGATGGAACTGAATGAGAGCATCCTTTTATCTGTAGTGCTTTTATAGTTTGTTTTTTATAGTTTGAGTTCTGGTTCTCAATCCTAAATATTTTTTTTCTTGCCACTGTTGCCCATGGCTTAATGAGATGATTTTTGTAAGTACTGCCAACTAGTGGCAATTAAGTTGAAACGCAAGCTTACAAGATTTGTTCTAATCTAAAAATGAAAAAAAAAACAATGAAAATAATAATAAATAAAAACTAAAAATAAAAAAATATAATATTATTACAAAATAATATTTACTCCAGCAAACTGAAAGAGAAAAATACAATTTCTAAGCAGGGTTATTGTAGTTAACTGAAATTTGCTGATTTATTTCTGCAAGTTTCAAAGGTAACATGTATGCTGGTGCAATTAACTAATTAAATGTTTATATTAAAACTATATTGACATCAAAATAAGACAAAATGAAGGCAACAGGTTATTTAGCATAAAAAAAACTGCAAATAAAACTAATTCCAACATTAGGTAAAATAACATAAAATATAAAAAATCATAATCTTGTTTTATTTCAGCTATTTTCCAAGGAAATATTTGCTTTCAATTGAGTTTGATGTATTAATTACACCAAAAAGAAACCAAAAAAATTATACACACACAAACAAGCTAATAGTCAACAATTAATACAAAATTACATATTTTAATTTTTTTAATTATTTTATTTTATTCAAATAAGTAGTCACACATGAAGTGAAATCAAAGAAAAATCTGCTTAAACTGATAAATAAAACTAATTAAAATTATAAAAAAACTAATTTTTTAAACAAAAATAAAAACTATTGCAAACTATTGATATAACGTCAGCAAACAAAAGCAATAAACAGAAAAAATAAATAAGCAAAATAAAGACGTATATGATGATGATGATGTAATGCTATATTGTCATTTAATTATATATACAGTTGAAGTCAGAATAATTATTATTAATTGTTAGCCCCACTGTTTATTTTTTTCCCCAATTTCTGTTTAACGGTGAAATTTTTACAACTCATTTCTAAAAATAATAGTTTTAATAACTCATTTCTAATAACTGATTTATTTTATCTTTGCCATGATGACAGTTTATTATTAAAAACTGCTTTTATTCTAGCTGAAATAAAACAAAAAATACTTTCTCCAGAAGAAAAGATATTATCAGGCATACTGTGAAAATTTCCTTGCTCTGTTAAACATCATTTGGGAAATATTTAAAAATAAAATAAAAATTCAAAGGGGGGCAAATAATTCTGACTTAAACGATATATATTCATTCAAATAACATTCAAAATCAAATATCACAACACACAAAATGTATTTTATTTTAATAAGAAAAAAGTCTTTAAGTATTCTAATATAGTGCCCATTTCCAAAGTGCACCAAACACAAAAAACGGACCATAATAATTAAGTTTGAACTTCCCTAAAGTCTTTCTGAAATGACATTGTTGGCTTGAAATATGAGCTAACCTTTAAAACCCCAACCTGTGGCCTTGGTGTGTCAGCCACATAAAAAAACAGAGAATCACTTTAGAAACAGAGAAGAGGAACCTGAGGTCAGATGAACTGAAATTGAGAGGATTATCATAAAATATAACCATAATCCTGCAAACCTATGGCATTGTGGTCAATACTAAGCATTAAATAGAATCCATGTCCCCTTTTCAGTGGTCACTTATCTGGAAAACATTGGTGTTGAGTGGGTGTCAATAAGGAAGGTCCTCTGTGAGGTCCCATAGGAAATCCTCCTCTGCATTACTGTCAGCACTTTCAATATGAGTCCAGGAGATATCATTTACCTGCAAAATAAAGTAGTTGATAA